ACTCACCTATAGTTCCTGTCGAGCCGATCTCTAGGAAGCCAGGGCTGTTACTGCTACTACCGCCACTGCTATTTCTAATACTACTATCTAGGGTGTAATTGAGTGATAATATTCGCTGGCACCATTGCCGAGTGAACTGTTAGCCAGAATTGACACTGGTTTAAGTCAGTAGTGGGCTCATTTCCCTCAAACTCAACAATGAGTGTAGTAGAACTTGTGCTACCATTTGTCAGAAATGACGCTTTCTAAGCCAACGCTATGGTTCATACCCCCTTGATCTCAACAAGGAATGCGAATATGTGCTTAAGCTATTTCGAATAGGTACATGTTTGGGTCCCTGAGCGCAGCAATACTGCCTTGGTTTCCACACACTCAACTCTATTTATCGACATGTGACCGTTTCTGCTAGGTACGGACTAAGATACTGCTACTGTAGGTACGTGCCTCTGCTAAAGTGCTAGTTATCGAAATAATGCTTCTAAGGCGATTAATATGTATACTTTAATACTGACTGTGTGTGATTTTTAAGAAGTCGCACCAAGTATGCACGGCCAATCCATAAGTAGAGATGATGGAGCAGGAATCGGACGTAAGCTGCTTTCTCCAATGCAGCCAGAAACACCGCCTAACTTAGTCTTTGGTGACAGTAGACTTTGCGCGGTTACTATTCCATAGTCTACCCTCACTCACCTATAGTGGGTGTCGAGCCAGACTCTGGGAAGCCAGGGCTGATACCGCTACTCCCATTTATAATACTGCTAACTAGTGTGGCTGAGTGATAATATTTGCTGGTAACGCTGACGGCTCTACCCGTCTGCTGCAACAACGTTTCCAACATGAATACTGGTCTTAAACAGCGAATTCCAAGGAGCAAGCCTCAAATGATGGTGACACTTTAAAACTCTACCAAATTATCCGCCAAGTGAGTGGTCAGCCCTCGAACTTTTGTGATTCTATTCGCTATGTCGTTGGCGGCTTTACAGCTTACAACTCTGTCAGGGTCGATCACTGGTGTGAACTCTTTGAACAGCCCCTAAATTTCGATGAGCAACCTATTGCGGCGTCCGACTCCTCCGCAGCGCAGTTTCAACCCTCTCCAGCGTACGCAGTGTCGCGCTACCCCCCTTCCAAAGACCAAGTTGCGGATGCAATGCAAAAGCCGCATAACAACAAGATGTGCGGAGAGGACGGTATTTCTGCAGAAATCTTCAACTTTTGTGCCGACGCATTTGCTTAATGAGGTGATTGGACAAGCCTGGAGAGACGAGGCCACTAATGATAACTGGGGTTCAGTCAGTCTTGTTCCTGTCTACAAGAATGGAGATAAAACAAGAGGCGAAAACTACCAGAGCATGAAGCCATCGCTGCAAATATATTCACTCTTGTCGTTCTCAGGCACTTCCAATCTGTGATTGACTGCAGGACGCGGTCCAGACAAGCCGGATGCCGCGCTAGGCGTGAATTTTCTGACCAGATTTTCACACTGAGATGGACCCTTGAATTCAGCCATAGCTATCAGCAACCAACGGCCGTCTGTCTGGTTGACTTTGCCACTGCGTTCGACTCTATTCATGGTGAATGCTTGTCGCATATAATGCGCTGGACGGCTTATCATCAAAAATCATCGCCGCGATCAAGGATACTACCTGGCCACCACTGCGCGCGTTCAGGCCCATAACAACCTCCGGATCGTTCGCTTTTTGGGCTGGCGTTCGACAAAGCTATGTCCTGTCGCCCATTTTATTCAACTAAATCACTGGAATCTTGGGAAGACCCTACTTGGAGAGGACGGTGTTGAGGTTGCACCCGGATGCCGGCTGGCTGATCTCGACTACACCAATGATGCCACTTTAATAGCTAAAAGGTTTGGCAATCTACAGTCTGTTGATTCCCGAATGAATGAGATCGCTGCGTTTGTTGGCTTGTTCTTAAATACTTGTAAGACAAAATTATTCTCAAGCTGCATTCCTGACCCCTAGGGAAAAAGTATAAAACTTTAAATAACCCTTGGCGGGGCTGCTTCCGAACGGAAAGTGGAAGTATGATGTCTCCCGAATCGATGCTGCTCGACGGATTTTCTCAATCTCCCGAAAGTACCTATGGACCCGACGCGATATTTATATTGCCACGAAGTGTCGCGTGCGTCATGCATCACTTTTGTCAGTTCTCCTTTATGGGTATGCGTGTGGGGCTTTTGCGGGTAGAAGATAAGCTATTATTGGAGGTATTTGACCAAGGCTGCCTGAGTAAAGTATACGAACTTCGCCTCAAATGAGACAGTTTGCACCCGCTGTCACAGTATCGGAGGATAAATCAGACTCTCCAAAAAGACGACTAAGATGGTTTTGGCACTTTCTACGCCGTCCATCCCACGAGCTTTCTATTC